CGCTGGCTGCACGGCGCATCTGTGGGATGCCCAGGCGGGGTGCGCGGATGGGGTCCCGTGCCCTTTGGAGAAGATGCCTGTGTGGGAGTTTGCCTCGGGGTGAGCTGCTCAAGCAGAGCTTTTCCTCCTCGAAACCCCCACGCTCTGTGCTCCCGACTCGGCTGGCGAGCTGTTGGTGCCGGCAGAGGCGGCGCAAGGGCAGTGGCGGGGGGGCATTGTCCCCAGGTGGGCACAGAGCTGCGTGTCCCCGGGCTGTGCGTGCGAGGCTGTGCTGGGCGCCGGAACTCACAGTCACACACACACAGCGAGCAATGAATCCCACCAGCACGCCTGCAAGCTGGGCTTGATTTTCGTAACCTTCCTCACTCAGACTGGATCTGGAGTCGTCCTGCATGGATGGACATGGGAAAGCCCGCTCGTGTGGACGGGCACGCTTTGTGAGGTTATGTATCTCCATCCTTACTTCCAAGTGGGGGCAGGATCACAGGAGACAGAAAGGAAGGAGAAGGCTTGGAGTCATTGATATTCCTGGTGGGACCTCAAGAAACATCCCTAAAGCATCCACAATCCCTGAGGAGACAGGTAGGGGGACACACATCCCCTTTTCTCCAACACACTGGGGATGCAGCACCTTCTCCACGGCGTAAAATGGAGCAGGATGCCGAGGGAAGAAGGCCTTTGAACAGTCAATTTCCATCGCTGAAAGCTGACAAGTTTAAAACAGCTAATGTGCCCCGCAAGATGAGGCCTTGGGAGATTTACAGCTCTCCTCGGCTGACTGCTCCCATACGGTGTGTATGTCAGCCAGGGAGCCTTTTAAAGAACCAAGATAAAGCTGCAGCAGGGCCGCACTGCCCACCAAATGGATGGCAGAGAGACAGGAAAGGAAGGAGAGAGCTTGCTCTGTGTGTTTTTTTCCCATCAGGCAGGTGCTGAGCTCATGTCCCCTCCTGCAGCCACCACCATGGAGTTACTGCAGGTCAAGGTCATAGCAGACCTCTTGGAGCAAAATTTGCCTAAACTGGTGCAGGAGGAGGTTTGTAAAATTGAGTAGGACCCACCTGGGGTGGGTGTCAGCAGACATGGAGGTGGCACTGTCTCTCAGGAGTTGTTGTAGGGTGCCCATGGAGTGAGGAAGCCCTGGGGGATGGGCAGGACCCAGCCTGAGCCCTCTGCTGCGGGCTGGAGCTGGTGCTGGACTGGGTGGGATGGTGGGGAGCAGCCTCTTGGGTGGGTCGAATGAGAATGCTGGGATTTAGCAGGACCCCAGCTGGGGTCAGCATCCCTTGGAGAGCTCACACAGCATTCAGGAGCTGCTGTGAAGTCCCTGAGTGCTGCTGCCTGTCAGCTTTCTGTGCCACATCAAAGCCCAGCTGGGATGCTGGGTGCTCCCCAGGGCAGTCAGATCCTCATTGTGACCTCTCTGTCCCTCTGCTGCAGCCAGCAGCACTGTGTGCATGAGCAGACCCATGACCAGCATGGAGCTCTGTGCAGTGTCAGCTGGCCAGGACTGTGGCCAGGGGTCCTGGGGCACAGGGGTGACATGGGACCTGCTGCCCATCCCCGGCATCCATGTGGTGCTGGCAGCATGGGAGCCGTGCCCACTGCCACCCTCTGCCTGCTCTGCCTGGCACAGACCTCAGCACAGGATGTCAGGAGGCAATGCACCTTCCTCAAGGTCACCAGGAGCACCAGGCTGGAGGCATCATGTCCTGAGAGCACCTCTGCCTCACGCAGAGGCACGGCACTGCTGGGATGGCAGCGATCCCCATTTCCCAGACTGGCCAGGCTGCTGCCCTGGCACCCCCACATCTGCTGGGCTAACAGTACTTACCGTGCTCTCCACAGCCAGCTGGGCCTTTGTGTGTGGAGCAAAGCTGCAGCCACCTCAGCAGGCTGCTACTGCTCAAGACAGGCAGGGCCAGAGATCCTAAATCCACTAAACCCACACCAACCCATCCAGGCAGACTATTTTTTCCTCCCTGTGCTGCTGTCAGCCAAGTCAGTCCTGAGGGGACACACTTGGCTCTGCACGATGCTTCCTGCAGACACCTCTGAGCTGTGGATACCCAGGATTGCTGCTGGGGCTGGAGGTTTGGGTAAGGAGATCTTCCCACAGCCTGAGGGTGATTTTCCTTTGTTCCCAACCCCTCAAAAGCTGGCTGGATGGTGAACAAATATTCAGTGTGACCCTGCCCTGTTGAGGCTGGGAAAAGCTCTCCAGGCTAGTTTGGGGCTCAGTGGCAGCACAGGGACTGCCAGCTGTGATACTCAGGAGTGGCAGAGCAGCTGTGGCTGCCCTGGCATGGGAGACACCAGCCAGGCTGGGGGAAGCATTGCTGTGATGCCCATCAGCCTCCTCATCCTACCCAGGGGAAACAGGGCAGGGGAGGAGAGTCTCTTGCAGGATGTTCAGCAATGGGGCACCTGGAAATGCCCTCTGTTGTTTCTGCCTGTCCAGCTTTGCTACCCCAGACACCAGGTGACCCTCAGCTCCTCTGGACTGGAAGGAATTTTCCATCCCAACGCCTAACTGATGCTGCTCCTGGCAGTGGGGCTGGGGTGTGAGGGCTGGTGGCAGCACCCTGCAGCCTCAGTGCCGTGGTACTTCCTGGCCTCGATGCACCAGGAGCTGGAGAAGCAGCCCCAGCCTGGCACCAGCACCTGGCACATCCCTGGCTCCTGCAGTTGCTGATGCAGAGGAGCAGGATGAGCTGGATTCACTGGGGAGGACAAAGCTATATTAGGTCCTCTCTGTTCCTTTCCCTCACAGCAGCAGCCACAGTGGTGGACCCCGAACAACACCCAGGCCAGTCTCCAGCCCTGAGCGGGGAGAGGAAATATCCTCACTGTCCTGAGATGTTTGAGCGTGCCTCCTCTGACCCCTCTGCCCTCCTGGGAGCAAGGGGCCCTTTGCCCACTTGGGGGAAGAGGTAGCTGCTCCTGGTGCTGGCTGACTCCTGTGCTGGATGCTGGGGATGAGGATGGGACACCCTGCAGAGGGTTCAGGGACACAGCCCACCCCTGCCTGGCCCAGGGAGTGTCCCAAGGCTCGTTCAGAGCAGTGCCCAGGTTCCACGTGGGTCCCTGCTGTCCCCTGGGCTCCGGCGCGGGGGGAAGGAGCCTCCCCTTATCTCCCTTCCCTTTGTGCAAACACACGAGCCCGCCTGGAGCCGCCGTGCGATGCCGCCAGCCGGAAAGCCGCAAAGGCGGGGAGGTTGCCCAGCTTCTGTCTCCTTCCCAGCAGGTGTGGCTGGCCCTGCCAGGCAGATGGCTCCGCGCCTGGCAGAGACGAGCGGCGGCGCCAGGAGCAGCTGGCTCCATCCGCAGCCGGGCCAAGAGCGGAGACGCTGAGCAGCGCGGGCAGCTCGCGGCAGGAGAGCGAGGCAGTGACCTCCCTGCCAGGCTCAGCCTGTGCCGGGCACCCCCGGGCTCTGCACTCACCTGGGGGTGCTGCCAGCTCCTGAACCCCACGGGGATCCAGGGAGAGGTGTTGGCAGGGATCAGCAGTGCCCTGGAGCGGACAGGTGTCTCTTGGGGACAAAGATGTAGGATGCAAGGGATGGAGGATCCAAAGGTGCGGGAACCTCCAGGGCACTTTTGCTCCGGTGAGATCTGCCAGTCAGACATCGGGGCCTCTCCTGCACCCTGGAGCAGCTGGGGCTTGGAGCTGAAGAGCCCCAGGGTGGCCCCTGCTCTGAGCCATCAGCCCCCATCCCAGTTTTGCTCCTTGCTGCCTGGGCTAACGATCCGCTGGGCAATCAACAGACCAGTTGGAAACCCTGTTAGAGCCTGGCCAGGCACTGCCTTGTTATTTCTATCCAGCCAAGTGGGGGAAACAGCCCTGTTTCATCCACTGACAGTCACTGTGCTGTTGTGCAGCTCCTGGCACAGCAGGACAGGCTGAACCAACCCTCAAAAATCAGAATGGAGACAGGAAAATGCCGCTCCCCCCTCCAGGCTGTTCTCTACTGCAGAAGGAGAGCAGCCCATGGATTTTTCATGATGGCAGCAATAAGGGGACTGCAGAGGCTCTTGTGCTGTGCTGGCCAGCCATGCCCATGAGGGATCAGCACAGCGGCCTCACGCTGCACAGCGCAGCCTCATTTGCTGTGCAGTTATTAATTCCTCGGTTTGCCTGGCTCTGAGTGGAGGCAGAGAGCAGAAGCAAATGGAACCCACCAGGACTGATGGCCCAGGAGCTCAGAGCAGGTCCTGAGCCTGGCATTAAGGGCTGGAAGAAGCTGTTCCTGGGACCTGTCTTCCCAAGGGGCAGAGGAGAGATGGAGAGGGGATGGTCCATGGGAGCAAAGCCTCTGGGCAGGCTGCTCCCATCATCCAGACTGCTCCATCCTCATCTTGCAGCGGTGCTGGAAGTGGAAGTTTTGAAGTCATGCACAGAGCTGTTTGCTTGGTATTTCCTGCCCCCGAGAACAGGAAGCAGCAGCAAAGCCCAGGAGGGAGCTGCTCTTGGGAGAATTCCAGCCTGACACATTTTGATCCCTGCCTGCAGGAAAGGGGGAAAGCTCCATGCTCTTTCCCTCATCCCTGTGCCCAGTGCTGGGAGCTGATGGGCCCAGGCTGAGGCCAGCTTGGATATGGATTGCACAGAAACGTGGCAGCTGGAATGATTTTCCACCTCCCTCTCCCTCGTACCACTCTGACCTGGACCTTGTTTGCTCAGGCTCTAGGACAGGCAGGGAAACGCTGGCTCGTGAGCTGCAGTGTGAGAAATGTCTGCAGTGGTGGGTGCATGTCCACCCAGCTGTCCCATGGCTGTGCTGCTCTCCAGGGACTGTCCTCTTGGCCCCGTTAGCTGCAGGTCCACTCTTATCTCCCCTTCCCTGCCAGATCTGGGGCAGCATCTCATCACCCTCCCAAAACCCCTCCTGTTTTTGAGGACCCGGTCCATGCTGGGAGCCACCAGCCCTGCTCAGAGGCTCCCTCAGTCCACCAGGGCTTGAGTGCAAAGCCTGAGGTTGTCCCCTGCCCCGTGTCACCTGGATCAGCGAGGTCCCTGCCACAGGCCTGTGTTCCTCTCTGCAGTGCTGCTGGTGATGGCCAGGGAAGGGCAGGCTGGGCTGGTGCCCGGTGCCAGGCGAGGGCTCTGCCACGGCAGGAGTCGCTCCCATCAGGACTGCAGCGTCTGTTGCTGGCAGATCATGGCAGCAGCCTCCGAGGAACGTGAACAGCACATTATTAACAATCTTTTAAAGAGCTGCCAGTGCGTCCCAGGTCCCTGTTTATTTCTGCATATGGCCTGTCCCCTGCTGAATGCAGCATTCATAGGAGGTGTCACCTCAGCTTAAGGGGGCCTATTACTTACCCCAATCAAACTCCTGCAGTAGGTGATTCCTCCTCTGGCCAAGGACAAAATCCCACAGGAGGAGTTTATCCTCCCTTTAAATCATCCCTGCTTTTGTTTTCTTCCTCCTGCGGGGTGCATTTTTGCAGAGTGGATGTTGGATCGAGGGTGTCCAAGCTGGAACACACTGGCCTCTGGATCTGCTCCCAAATCACGATCTGCACGGATGCTGGGGCTGCTGCTGTGGCACTGCCCTGGCTGTGCCCTGCCATGGAGAAATCTGGGGATGCACTGGCTGGAAGGACATGGCTGGGGAGCAGGGACATGCCCAGAGAGACATGGCATTCCGGGCCAAGGTGGCTGGCACAGAGAGGGCAGGTGAAGCTAGAGAAACCTAGAGGAGAGGAGACTGAGCTCAGACCTCCCCAGGGGCTGCAGCTCCTCCTGAGGGGCAGCTCCAATCTCTGCTCCCTGGGACCAGGGAACTGTCCACAGGAAAAGTTCTCAAGGGAATGGCTGGAGCTGTGTCAGGGGATTTAGTGTGGGTATCAGGAAAAGGTTCTTCCCCAGAGGGTGGTGGGACACTGCCCAGGCTCCCCAGGGAATGGTCACAGCCCCAGGGCTGCCAGATCTCAAGGAGCATTTGAGCAATGCTCTCAGGTACAGGGTGGGATTGTTGGGGTGTCTGTGCAGCACCAGGAGTTCGACTCAATGATCCTAATCCTGGTTCCTTCCAGCTCAGGATATTCCATGATTCTAAGTTTCCATCCTCAGCTTAGCACAGGTCCACCCCAGTGGCTGTGCCCAGCTGTAAGGGTGCTCCAGACCCTGCCTGGAGGATGCTGAGCTCACTGTGCAAAAAGCAGAGATTCCATTCTGTGGTCACAGAGGCACCAGCTGGAACCCAGACCAAGAGCTCAGGGTCTCCTTTCTTACTTATGTCAACACCAGCCATGGGACAAGACACACAGAGCAGCCCTGCCTCAGCAAGAGGAGGCTGCAGGTGTTTGGCTGGATCCTCCAGGCCGGGCTGGGTGGGTGTGTGATGTGTGTCCCCATCCCAGAGGTGCCCACAGGACAGAGGTTGTTTAACTGGGCAGACACAGCCAGCTGCTCTTTGGGGCTGTGTCTGAACACAGCCAGGTGACATGGGACACACCGAGCCGGGATGCTGGGAGAGCCAGCACCTGGGACACCTCTTTGGAGGATGCCTGCATGGATTTTCACAGGATCCTGAATTCTTCTGCTGCTCCTCCAGGGCCTCTGCCCAGTATTCCTGCTTCCCTGTCATTGCTACAGGAACCAAGCAGCTGAAAATCACAGAACACAAATGAAATTTTCACAGCTGAAAATCCAGCTCGGAGTCCACCTGGAAATAAACATGTCCTGGGTGAAGGACGGACCAACACCAAAGCAATGAGGGGTCCCTGGCTGCTCTGGGCAGCATCATACAGTGCCTGGCACAGCCCCACAGCAGTGACAGTGGAGGCAGCAGCACACACTAACCTGATCAATCCATGGGAAGGGGGGGGTCAGGATTGTCCCTGACTTTTTTTTGGAAGTGACAGAGCTGTGCCTGGATTCTGGGCACCTGCACAGGACAGGAGCTCGGGCAGTGGCAGGGTTTGCTGCAGGTGTGAGCAGAGGGT